CCTCGAGGGGCGCCCGGGAACGCCCGGGGACCCCGGGCCTCCCGTTCGGGCGCCGCTTCGCCCGCCCCGGCCCCGGCCGCCGCCGCCGCCTCACCCTCGGCCGCCTGCAGTGTCTGCAGGAGCTGGCGCGCTTCCTCCTCCTCCTCTTCGGTCGCCGCCGCGGCCACCGCCTCCCCCCCTGCAGCCGGCCCCGCGTTCGGCTCAGCAGGCAAGGTAGCCATGTTTTGCAACTTTGGGAAGTTCCTCCCTCCTTCTCCTCCTCCCTCGGGCTTTCCTCAGCCCCCTCCCCCGCCCGTCCCCCCACTCCGCCCCCCCGTTCGCGCTTCCCGATCTTCTCCCCCTGTCGACCCTGCGAATCCCCCAATGCCTGGCCCAGCGCCCCGATAGGGTCTCCCAATGTCTGTGTGTGCCCGTTCCCCTCCTCGTCTGTCCGTGATTCTCCCTTTGTTTTCCCTCCGCCTCAGGCCGCTCTTTTTGCCTCCCCCCGCGTGTGCCTCTTGCTCAGGGCCTCAGTTTCCCATCGGGACAACGGAGAAGGTAACGGGCCGTCCGGGAGGGCTAAGGGCGCGAAGCCACCTCCGCCCCAAGACTGAGCTTCTGCACGCCTTCGTCTCCAGGGTCCTCTGAATGCCCCCACACTCCCCATCTCGGCCTGCGCTCCGCCCCTCGGAATTCCCGGCTCCACAGGGGGGCGGGTCTGGCACGGAGAAGGGGCGGGCGAAACAGGCTAGAAAGTTTGCTGTAACTTTTCTGGAGCGTTAAGTCCCTGGAACGGATGCGCGTGGCCCGCGCAGGCGCAGAAGGAGGAGGATGGACGCGCGCGCGGCGGGTGCTGCCCACTTCTTCCCCGCGAGCCGGTGGCACAGCTGGGCCACAGCTGGACAACGGGCGGTGTCTTGGGGGTGGGTTGCCCGTTTGCCTCTTCCTATTGGTTACGTTCTGAGGCCACGCCCCCGAATGTCCACCCACGTCCCTGATTCGTCCGCCTCGGCTAGTCCCCGGCAGGCCATTGGCCACTTCCGCTCGCCTTCTGATTGGCCCACCGAGCAACCTCTTTCCCGCAACGCAAACAGCAGACACCGCGGAGTTCAGAGCTTGGGGCAGACAAGGGAGCCTTTTATTCACAAGGGTCGGGGGTGGGGTTCCTAGGTGGGGAGAGACAATAAATACCGAGGAAGGTCGGGGTTTCAGTGCATCCAAAACGTGGATTAGGGTGCTAGGGTCCTGGAGCCTTCAGCTGGTCGGGGGACAGGTCAATAAATACCCAAACCGCCGAGGCGGGAGGAGCCGGCAGAGGCTCCGAGAGCAGCGCACGTGAGGAGGGCGCGGGAGGCCCCGAAAAAGCGGGGCTAATACAAGCGAACGGTTCCCGAGAGCAGCGGGGCTCGAGCTAGACATTCTCTCGCAGAGAACGAGCGAGCAGGGCTTCATGCACAAGGGTTGGTGGTTTTCGAGCCGATGTGGGTGGGGTGCGTGGAGGGTGAAAAAGAGATGGCTGAGCTCTGGCTCTGCTGCCTTCTCTCGATCGCAGTTTGCCGATCCACGTCGCGGCCTCAGCCAGGCTGGAGGAAGTGGTCCGCCTTCCACCCACAGCACCACTTCGGGTTACAGGCCGCCTGTGAGCCCCGCGCTCCGGCCTCGGGCCCGGCTCCTCCCTCCCCGGCCGCCAGGGGGCGGGCCGGATCACAAGGCTGCAGCTGGGGTGGAGGCGCACACTTGGAGCGGTGAGCCGGGAGGCGATGTGAGTGGCTTCTGGGCCGAGCGCGCGTCACCCAACCCTCCCGCGGGGCCCGAGTGGAGGACGGGCCGGGGCTCTAAAGTTCAGGGGACGAAGACGGCTCCTGGGCGGCGCCAGACCCGGGCGGGATGGCCTGCGCAGGCCACCAACCCAGTGCAGCCCAGGGCGGCGGTACCAGCCAGAGCAGCGGCGAACAGGAACAGGGGACGCGCCTCCGATAGGCCAGGCTTAGGGACCTGCGGAGGAGAGGGCGGGATCAGCACCGGTGTAAACGGGTACTTGATTGGTTGCTGGGACTCGCCCCGCCCCCGCTCATAGATGGGTCCTCGTTCTTCCCGCCCCCAACAACTCGGGCAGCTGTGGTTGGTCGGCTTGCAAGCCTCTAGTCTTGTCTGAACTCGTCATTGGCTGCTTTTTCTAGCGGCTGCGTTGATTGGCTGCCAAAGCACCCTCCCTCCCCGCAGAAGCCCAGCCTCATAGAGGAGCAGCTAAGCACAGGCGGCTTGGGGCTCGTGGAGGAGGCGGGGGACGCCGCGGCGGGCTGGCGGGCGGGTGGGTGGAAGCAGCCGGACGTACCCTGGCAGGGAGCAGCAGGTGGCGGCGGTGCATGGGGCCTGGCCCCACCAGCGGGCACTGGCCCAGAGCCACGGCCGGGGGGCCATCTAGCTGGAGAGAGAAGGGACAGGTGACCCAATCGGAGCCCGGCCGCCTCGGTGGGGGGCGAGAGACAGGGAACCGAGGTCGGGGAGGGGATCGAGGGAGCTCCCGGACGGGATTTGGTGAGAGGCCTGAACCGTGGGAGATCGGGTGGATATGGGGCTGAATGGAAGGTTCTGTTGCCTGGAACCCCAAAGGAGTAGGTGAGCCCTAAATCTGGACGGGAAGGACGGGGACAGGGTCCTGCCAAAAGGGGGGCAGCAGGCTTTGACGGCAGGGGAAAAAAGAGGGGTCTTTACATGGGAAGGGTGGGATCCCGTGGCCCGGGGACTTGGGGACCCCCCGTGAAACACCTGGAAAGAAAAAAAAA